TTCCAAAAGCTACTGATAGACCTTGAAATTTTTGCGCCATCTTTCTGAGATATGTTAGTGCTCGGAATTTTCTAAATCACTTTAACAATATATTATAATTGTTATTGTAATTACTATTACCATTATATTATTATCATTGTTATTATTATCATCATTATCATTACAATTATATCAGTGATTCGTATTTCAAATCACACATACATTAAACGTTCTAGAATAATTGTAAACTTTTTGCTGCTGCTTAATGTTTTTTGTCTTCATCCTCTAAATTTAGGCCACCTAACCAATTTTGATTTCTGTTTCCCAAAATATTATTAGTTACTGGTTTTTCTCCAGTGCGCTTCGTTAAAATATTTTTTTGTGCGGGAGCGTTACTTGCCTTGTTCTTTGTTGAACAGTTTGATCGCAGTCAAAAAGTAAACACTGAAAAATATTTACAGTCTGATTAGCTGTTGAAAATATCTGTTCGATTTTCGTTCAGGAGAAACACTGCATTTTGGAAGATTTAAGAAAAAATACATATTTGGGTATGTATCTCTTCTGGCTGGTTTTTTTTTTTTTTGCTGGAAGATATGTGTTTTTATCTTTTTCGTTTTAGCATAATTGCGAATTCCGTTCACTGCAGAATTCCATGCCTTTCGCTTGCTATCTTGCATTAAGCCCAGCAGCATTTACCTAGTGAGCTTACAAACTCGGGTTTTGATGACAAGCAAAGAGACCCTTGCTTGAAGCCTATATGTATAGCTGTTTTGCTTGCTGTTATTGCACATTGTCCTGTAGTGGTGCTGCCTTCCTCCCTTTCTTCACAGAGTTATGCTTTATGTATAAACACAACTAGATACTAAATTCAACGAAATAGCTCGGCGGACCGCCGTGAAAACTCTCAAATTTTCTATGGTAGAAGGGCTGAAGACCGCTATGGAGCTTCTTCCTTCCAGCCCATCGACCAAGGAAATTTTACATGTAGAATTATCGATGAAAAAAATCCAAAAACAAAATAAACAAAACATTCCTCTCAAAATCACATTTTCCGTACCTTATCAGTGCGCGCCTATGTTTGTACTCCCCAAAATTGCATGGTAGATGAGCATTTTGAACAGTAAATCACACCTTTAAGTGAAAGCGAAGCGATTTCTAAATTTCAACGCTGTCGTAGACTAGATCAGGAAGAATGCAGAAAACTGTTATAAAGCCAACCTGAGCATGCCTTTTTTCGATTAGTTATCGATAATTGGGTGCACTAGCGTGTGTATACAAGAAGCATTAGTTATTTAGTGGATTCACTTGACGGACCAGATCACCGGAATCTCAAATTTGCAGCCTGCTTCGTTCTGGAGTAATAATATCAACATCAAATTTGAACTGATAATTTAGAAATCCGGAATAATAAGTGAAAAATTTTTGTACTTCGTGGACTGATTTTTTCGAGCATCTAGTTGAAATCGGCCTTTGAAATATAAAATATCCCACTGGTATGAATCGAGTTCGAGGAATTTCAAGCACTGAGTTGAATCCTTAAAATTTTGAGTTTTCAGCTTTGTTCGCGCTCGCTTTATAAATTTAGCAGAATTTCGGACCTGTGGCCAAAAATTAAGGCACGTAGAAACATGATTTCCGACTGTGCATGATTTTACTCAAACCAGGTCTCTATCTCTCCACTTTTTCTAGCTTTCATTCCTTACTCGAATGCAGAGCTATCCACGCATAGACATGCACAAGCATATACGCTCATCCACACATACATTCAGAAACATTCGCAAATTTTTCTGCTGAAATATTCATAAAAAAAACATTGTCCCTATATTTGTTTATTGCCTTTTATTTCAAATTTCTTCTGCACGTGTAAGGCTCACTGTGATGGCTTACGAATTTTGTCTATTTTCCTCTCAATACTGTTGTAAAATATTCCAAAAGAATGTAGAGATTTGCGCATATTACCAAATTCGTTGGTACAGTAAGAGAGCTATGTATATAATTACTATCGTAGTTGTGATTTAATGATACGGGAGCTTGGTCAGTGCGAGAGCACTGGTCAGTGTTAGAAAGCAAAAGAAATTAGCAAAGAGATTTTTTACAATGCTTTTTCAGAAGTAGAAAATTATCAACAAATCAGTGGCATAATTTTTTTTTTTAAATTTCTTTCATAAGAAGCGAAGAAATTGATGAGTTTTGACGCTAGCTGTAATTGCTTGGCTGCTTACTATCCAACGGCCATGGGTTATTCATTTTTTCACAAATTTTTTTTTGGATCTGTAGAAGTTCCATAGCTGTACAGCATGGGTACGATTATTGCTGATAAAAAGTAGTTTTCTTAGTCTCAATTTACTTAAACCAGTGAAAATTCGATGTATTTATGTGTGCTTTTGCCTTGGTCTTCGCCACAACGATCTACAGCGTCACATGGTGCCTTATGCTGATTGATTCCAATGATGTATTCCGATCGGGATTTGTCCATCCGCGCCTGCATATCCGAACCGTTTTTCCCTTTCTTCTTTCCGTAGTCATATTCTCAGACAGATTCTTTTTCAACTAATCTCTGTAGAGCAGTTGCTCTCTCTGTCTCTCTCTTTACCTGT